TAAACCAAGTCTAAACCAAGTCTAAACCAGGACTAAACCAGAACTAAACCAGTCTAAACCAGGACTAAACAAAGTCTAAACCAGGACTAAACCAAGTCTAAACCAGGACTAAACCAAGTCTAAACCAGGACTAAACCAAGTCTAAACCAAGTCTAAACCAGGACTAAACCAGGACTAAACCAGGACTAAACCAGGACTGAACCAGGACTACAACCAGGACTAAACCAGGACTGAACCAGGACTAAACCAGGTATAAAGCAGGTTCAAAGCAAGTCTAAACCAAACCTAAACCAAGTCTAAACCAGGACTAAAGCAGATATAAAGTAGTTCTAAACCAGAACTAAACCAGGTCTAAACCAGGACTAAACCAGGACTAAACCAAGTCTAAACCAGGACTAAACCAAAACTAAAAAAGTTCTAAACCAGGACTAAACCAGTACTAAACCAGGACTAAACCAGTTATAAACCAGGTGTAAACCAAAACTAAACCAGTTCTGAAGCAGGTCTAAACCAAGTCTAAACCAGGACTAAAGCAGGACTAAACCAGGTCCATCTGCTTGTCTCAGTGAAGACAGACATTAACAGCCATACCATGGAACATTCTATCTAGACAACAACCTCTCTGGAACCTCCATGGAAACAAGCACTTGGCAGACCCTTACCAGGAAAGTTCCATGGTGCAGCTTTACATCCTCACAGTTAGGTGTATATCCCAAAAAGGACAAGTGTTTTACCTCTGATCCTTTAGCAGCCTCCAGTGGACAAAGTTATGTACTGCAGTCTGAATGCCCCATGACAGATCACACACATTTTTAAACTACACTAATAAAATCCCCTGATTGTAATTGAGAAATAAAACAACAAAAAACAATTATCAACTTTAAAAAGGTGTTACACAAAATGGACTCATATGAGCTTTAAGTCAACTTACAGTGTTGTTTCCTCATCAAAAACAGACCTGGAGTTGTGTTTTGTTTCATTCACACGTTTGAGTAACACTTTATTATTAGTCTGTCTACAACTGCAAAGCTCAAAACGCTCTGTCCCACCTTGTGATGTCACGAAACAGTAGCTTTCAACTTAACAGCGCTACATTTGACCTTTTCTTCAGTCGAGATCTGCAATTCCAGAGCTGAAATCGTCCGAATGATTCTAGTGCGTATGGAGTTTAAAAACACAATGGAGCACTTCCTGTATTATATCAAATGTGCAGGGTTTGTGTGTTAAACATGTGTGAGTGAAGCAAAACAATTCCAGGTATGTTTGTGATGAGGAAACGACATTATAACACAGATCTGAAAATAGCGTAATATGGGCCCATTTACATCTCATCTCATCATCCTTTATCACAGCTCCAAACTTCCCTTTATAAACAGTGTACAAAAGGGACACGTTTTGTTTTGTGCAGCGGTGTCAGTATCACAGAGTTAGTGGAGGATTTCCTGTCATTTGGCACAACACTAAACAATGAGCTAAGTGCTGAAAAGACAGATGTTTACTACAGAGACACAAGACGCAAGAGACTGAAGAGACCACTGTGGGAAATGTGTTTGGAATTAGATGGATTTTGATGTGGTATGAAACGAAACGCCAAAAATGATATTATTGCAAAATGATACAGCTGTCCATTAATAATATTCTCGTCTCGATTAAAGGGCCCGTATTACTCTGTTCTCTGATCTAGCTTATAATGTTGTTTCCTCATCAAAAACATATCTGGAATTGTGTTTTGTTCCATTTTTTCTTTTTTTTTTTCTCAAAAGAAGTAGGTTGAAGTTAAAAAAACATATGTCCTACCTCAACTGTTTTACATCAACATGTGGTTAACACTTTTAAACCTTTTTTTTTTCCTTTGTGAATTGCATTTGTATGTTCTCTATATCTGACGAAGTGAGCTATTCGTATTACTTTTTGATTTGTTCATCAACGAAATGCCAAAAAATATGTTATTACAAAATGATACAGCTGTCCATTAATAATATAGTTTGGATTGAAGGGCCTGTATTACGCTGTTCTCTGATCTATGTTATAACGTTATTTCCTCATCAAAAACATATCTGAAGTTGTTTTTTTTTGTTTTGTTTTTTTTTTTAGCAAGGTTGAAGTTTAAAAAATGTATCATGTCCTACCCCATTTATTTTATATTATCATGTGGTTAACACTTTTAAACCTTTTTTTTCCCTTTGTTTTTGACTGAGTTTCACTTTAAATAAGATTTGGCATGTTTTAATTGTTACCAGGTCCCCAAATTTCAGTGTCTCGGTCTGGCAAAACAAAGTGCAGTTGTATGTTCTCTATATCCGACAAAGTGAGCAATTCGTATTGTTTTTTTCTTGTAATTTAAAACAGTAAGTCTGTCACTTTAATAAGGATTTTCCGATACTTCTACACAGTAACTTAAGTGGGGTAAGGTAAGAGTAGAACAGCCTGTTTATTTATTTTGATTTGTTCATCAAGGCAGTAACTTGAAACGAAACGCCAAAAATGGTGTTACTGCAAAAATGATACAGCTGTCCATTAATAATATTCTTGTCTGGATTAAAGGGCCTGTATTACGCTGTTCTCTGATCTATGTTATAACGTTGTTTCCTCATCAAAAACATAACTGGATTTGTGTTTTGTTCCATTTTTCCTCTTTCTCAAAAGAAGTAGGTTGAAGTTAAAAAAAACATATGTCCTACCTCAATTGTTTTACATCAACATGTGGTTAACACTTTTAAACCTTTTTTGTTTTCCTTTGAAACTAAGTGAGCTATTCGTATTACTTTTTGATTTGTTCATCAACTAAACGCCAAAAAATATGTTATTACAAAATGACACAGCTGTCCATTAATTATAGTTTGGATTGAAGGGCCTGTATTACGCTGTTTTCTGATAATGTTATTTCCTCATCAAAAACATATCTGAAGTTGTGTTTTGTTTCTTTTTTTTATTTCTTTTTTTTATTTGTTTGAGCAAGGTTCAAGTTTAAAAAATGTATCATGTCCTACCCCATTTGTTTTACATTATCACGTGCTTAACAATTTTAAACCTTTTCACTTTAAATAAGATTTGGCATGTTTTAAAATTTTACCAGGTCCCCGAATTTCAGTGTCTCGGTCTGGCAAAACAAAGTGCAGTTGTATGTTCTTGTATGTTATATCCAACGAATTCGTATTGCTATTTTTTTTGGAATTTAAAACAATAAGTCTGTGTCATTTTAATAAGAATTTCCCTGGACCTCTACACAGTAACTTGAATGGGGTAAGGTAAGAGAAGAACAGATTATTTATTTAGATTTGTTCATTGAGGCAATAACTTGAAACGAAACGGCAAAAATGATACGGCTGTCCATTAATATTATTCTTGTCTCAATTAAGGGGCCTGTATTACGCTGTTCTCTGATCTGTTATGTTTCCTCATCAAAGACATCTGGAGTTGTGTTGTTGTTTTTTTTCGTTTTTTTTATTTGTTTGAGCAACCTGCTTGTATAAGGTACAAACATATGTCAGTGTCATTTCTGTTGCTCAAAAGGAGTGGGTTGAAGTTAAAAAAACATATGTCCTACCCCAATTGTTTTACATCAACATGTGGTTAACGCCTTTAAACCTTTTTTATATTTCTTTCCTTTTTTTTTTCCTTTGTGCGAAACAGTTTTTGAATGTTTTCTGGGAGCAGGTTGAGTTTCACGTTAAATAAGTCCTCAAATGTCTGTATTTTTGACTGTCAAAAAAGTGCATTCTTATGTTTTCGATGTCTGACTAAGTGAACTATTCGTATTGCTTTTTTGTGTAATTTATGAGTGTGTTACGTCTGTAAGAACTTCCACACTCCTCCACACATGAACTTACCATATTTTCCGCACTATCGGACGCTCTGGATTATAAGGCGCACTGTCATTGAATGGTCTATTTTTGAACTTTTTTCACATATAAACCACACCGGACTTTAAGGCGCATTAAACGTTAGATAAGTCAGTCAAACTTTATTTAAAGCGTTCACAATAACTTTCAACTTTGTTCAACTGTAACACGTAAAAAAATACTGTCTGAGACATTAAATTGTTCGTGTATTCACAATAAATCATAATAGTTCAAACAGTTGGGTGATTACAGCGTCCACATGCCCACATCCCTCTCATCATTATCCGAGTCAGTGTGGTTACTGTTCCCTGGCAGTTCAGTGATGATTCTGGTCTTGGTGAAAGCTCGGACCACAGTTGATACTGATCCTTAGTCCAGGCGTCCACGATCCATTGGCAGATCGTGGTGTAAGTGGCTCGGTGCTGTCTCTCTGTCTTGGTGAATGTGTGTTCTCCTTCTCTCATCCACTGCTTCCACGCAGCTCAAACTTTCACTTTATAATAGTCTTGAGTTTAAAGTGGGCGTTGTAAGTGTGTCTCTTGACAGGTGCATTTTGATATTAAAAGGAATCACAGTATGTATTACTCCTGATGCTCCTGACTACAGGAGCCGTAATGCTGCAAGTGGTGCAGCTTTGTAGTTTACTAAAGTCGTACTAAGACACCCCAATAAATTCATATATAAGGTGCTCTGGATTATAAGGCGCACAGTCCTTTTTTGATGAAATTACAGGCTTTTAAGTGCGCTCTATAGTGCGGAAAATACGGTAAATGGGGTAAGGTAATTGTAAACAGGGAGAAACGCTATAAGGCTATAAGTTTTGCGATTTTGGTTTAAATTTGATCAATGTGGGGTTTCCAAAGTTTGGCATGAAACGCCAAAATTGATGTTATTGCAAAAGCTGTTCATTAATAATATTCTTGCTTTGATTAAAAGGCCCGTATTACACTGTTCTCTGATCTATGTTATAATGTTGCTTCCTCATCAAAAACATATCTGGAGTTGTGTTTTGTTTCATTCACACATGTTTCTGCCCATTGAGTTCTTCTCTCAAACAGAAAACACTCTGTTCCCCCTTTTGATGTCGCGGTAAAACAAAAAGTGTGCCAGTTCCCGATTCAACAACCCTCCGTCTCTCCTGCCTCACTCGTTTCTCACCTGCTTCATGGCGGTCTCTCCAATCTTGTCCGAGTGCTTGCGGATGCTCTCCAGGAAGTCTCGCAGCTGGGCCATGGCCGTGTCCCGGATCAGGGTCCTGAGTTTGGGGATGTTCTGCGACATGATGGAGCAGAAGCGGTACTGCTCCACACGAGGCAGGCAGGTTTGTTCCAGCTGCTCCAGAGTGCACAGGGCCGGGTAGTACCTGAAAAAACACAACAGGGTACAACAGAACAGAGGAATGAGGGGGTATAATGAAAAATCAACTTTCTGGAGCTTTCATGTTCGATGTTCCCTCCCTTTGCTCTTCATGCTAAGTCACTCTCCCTTCAGAGCGCTATCACAAAACAATCAGTGTGTGTCCTGCTCATGAAACTACTGCACATCAGGTTTGTCAAGTTGCTGTGTACAGTTTTGTACAGGTTTCACTGGCAACATTTCAAAACCTTTCCATGACTTGTTCATGACCTAAAGTGAATTTTCCATGACTTTACTACATGTGTAGAAGTAATCATACTTTTAGGTCTAAATATGAAAATGTTAACTCTTTCCACTCACCTTATGGTTTGGGATTATAGTTTCTGATTTCTCATTCAAAATACTGTCAGTGCATTTTAAACAAAAAGGCGCAGACGTTCAGAAATAACAATCATAGCCTAATGAGAACTTAACAGAACACTGTAACTGCATGAAAGAGATACTTAAAATCCATAACTTTCCCAGACATTTTCAAACTCCATGAGTTTTCTATGGAGTAAGAAAGCTGTCAAAAATATTCGTGCGCATAAAATAGAAATCCGTGCGTATTTGGGAAATCCGTGCATATTTGGCAGTAGTTGCGCATAAAATAAATATTTGTAAACTCTCAAAAGAGTCCAGTCGTACATAAAATATATTGTGTGTATTTTATCCATCAGAATACGAATTGAAAAATTACGACGTCATGAATTACAATCATGAAATGAAAATTTACGATTACGCTTTCATCAGTACGAATACGAATTCACAGACGGAACTTTACTGTCAAAAATACGTCATCATTTCACAGACATTATTCATCGAGCAGAAGAAACATCGATCAAGATCAAGACTGCGCAGCTCAAGTTTGTAGCAGAGGGTAAAAACAGAGTAATAGCACAAGAAGCTACAACAGCGACCAACAAGTGGGTTAATTAAAATCTATTGTAAAAATGTCTTGAATTCGGGAACCGAACGCTGCTGTATAATATTGTGTAGAAACACCTCCTTTGAACGGGAAATTGCACCTATATGTTAGAAAACATAGTGGAGCCAGTTGGCAACATCCGACGTAACGTTATCCCAGGGCTAATTAGCAAATATCAGGTTCTCTGTAGGTTTAGATTAAAACATTCACGACTACAGCCACAGTGAGCATCAGTCAGTCTTAACCTTCATCTCAGCTGCATTTCAGACAATGGGTTTTTCATGAGTTATAATGGGTTATAATGAGCAAATCCATCCACGTCACGGTGACGTTATACTTACCGGTAAATACTGTAAACATACCAAGGTGTTGCCTGTAAACACGAACATTAATTGATGCTGGAAGCTGCATTAAACTGTAATGTGTAACATTTCATTAGCTGTGACGTCTGTAAAGACTGTAAAAGACATTTTTACAATAGATTTTAATGAACCCACTTGTTGGTCGCTGTTGTAGCTTCTTGTGCTATTACTCTGTTTTTACCCTCTGCTACAAACTTGAGCTGCGCAGTCTTGATCTTGATCGATGTTTCTTCTGCTCGATGAATAATGTCTGTGAAGTGATGACGTATTTTTGACAGTAAAGTTCCGTTTGTGAATTCGTATTCGTACTGATGAAAGCGTAATCATAAATTTTCATTTCGTGATTGTAATTCATGACGTCGTAATTTTTCAATTCGTATTCTGATGGATAAAATACACACAATATATTTTATGTACGACTGGACTCTTTTGAGAGTTTACAAATATTTATTTTATGCGCAACTACTGCCAAATATGCACGGATTTCCCAAATACGCACGGATTTCTATTTTATGCGCACGAATATTTTTGACAGCTTTCTTACTCCATAGTTTTCCAGGATATCCATGACTGTGGGAACCTTGTTTGTATCAAGTTTTTGTATATTTCTGGAGAATTGTTGTGTGGGAGCGTGGGTAATATAGGCTTATGGGTGGAGCTTTGTACAGAATCTTACAGCTAATCGTGAGGAGAGTCTAAACAGAAATATCAATATAACGTATCATTTAATGTGATGATACAGTATCCTGGGCTGCTGTATCGATATATCACCAAGAATATTTGTTTGGTCGATTTTACTCAATTATTTTGTCACAGTGCTACAGTTGTGTTGCTTGTTCAGAGGAAGGAAACTTGTTTATGCAACACATTTGACATATTCACTGTTTTGATCAGTAAAATGTGTTTCATATTAATTTTGTACAAGTCGTGGTTCAACAAAGACTTTTAGTATCACAGCCATGATAGAGCCTTTATTTTTTTATTGAAATGAATCAAAAGTGCACTGCATCGAGATATGTATTGGCCTATGAGGCATGTATCATATCGGCAACTTCTTAATGATACCCAGCCCTACCTAGGAGAGATCTCTAAATTACTCAAACATACATGAATGGCATCTAAAACCTCTTGTGTTTTTTTTTAATGAGGGAACAATAACACGGGAGAAATCTTTAAAAAATTGCATAATAGTGATTAATTTAAACTTTGGAAATTCTTCAAATGCTGGATATGGTTTTCATAATAACAATAATAATAATAATAATAATACATCAGTTTTATATAGTGCTTTTTACAGCAATACAAAGATGCTTCAGATTAAAGTTACACTAAACAAGGAAAGTACAAACAAAACAGTAATGAGGAGCACTCATGTGTGGGGGCTGTAGGCTTTGAGGAAAGTGTTTTGAGCAGTTTTTTTTTTTTAAGGTGTTTAGTGAGTCTGAGTTTCTGATGTGAAGGGGAGAGAGTTCCAGAGGGTGTGGGTGGCCAGGGCAAAGGCTCAGTCCCCCAAGGTCCAGTGCTCAATGTTAGAAGGTTCAATGCTCAATGAAAAGGGAACTGTTTAAAAATATCCTCAATACTTTGTCTCCATCTAGTGGCAACTAAAAACAGAACGACAAGAGTGACGAGGATGGAAAATGAGTTAGTTAGGGAAAAAGTTTGTTTATTAATATTAGTAGTTTAAGATGCAATTTGGTGGATTTTAAAAATGATATACCCTACTTAAAAGGTCCTGTATTACACAGAATTGATTCTTGTGAGTTTTAACCATTGTGGATATGTTATCTCAAAAACATACCTGGAGTTGTGTTTTATTTCATCCACACGTTTGAGTTTATGCATTATTATTCTGTCTACGTCTCCAAATCTCCAAATACTCTGTCCTTAAGTGGTAGTTCTCATGTTAACACCTACCCTTTAAATTTTTGTTCACTACAGATTGGCAATTCCAGGGTTGAAATAATCTAAATGATTCTAGTGAATGTGTATGGAGTTTAAAAACACAGTGGAGCACTTCCTGTAGTACCACATGACATCATAAGGTGGAACAGAGTGTTTTTGTGTTGAACATGTGTGAACGGAACCAAGCACAACTTCAGGTCTGTTTGTCATGAGAAAATAACATGATAACATTGATTAGATAAAAGCGGAATACGGGACCTTTAACACAACAATGTAAAACACCAAAAGTCACACAATACCTTTTGGCCCTCATTTGTTCCTGTAGTCGGCTGTACATTTCCAGAACTGAAAGAGAAAAAGAAGCTCTTTAACCAGCAGTAATATGACTCCTTTGAAATCACACTCTGGTGAATGTGCACTGGTTTGGTTTAAGTGTTTTTCGAAATCAAAGCCTCTCCATTATAGAGCCGTTACCTGGGAGACAGTGGGTGAGTTTGTCGATGGTGGTGGCGATGTTTCTCTGTTGAACTCTGCACTGCTGCAGCTCCTCCATTGAGTTCATCAACTATAAACACAGACTTGAAATTAATTTCTTATTTTTTATTTAAAAAACACCTTTCTGGACTGAATCTCAGTGTTGGTTCAAATGTTCTTAACAGCACAGTCCAACACTGACTCATCACTCTGATCTAGTCCTGATCAAGTGTATTAAGGTTTTACCACCACCATGAAAATAAAAAGCTAAACTCTTCTCCATTCACTACAACATTCTCCATGGAGATGCACACATTTTATTCCATAAAAGTCAGGTTTGTGGTAGGACAGGGCAATATGGCCAAAAATTTAATCTATATTTTTTGTCCGGTTTGGCAAAGTCCTTGAAAAAGCTGTACCAACAGCTTACGAACTTTCTCCAAATGAACAACTCCTTTGATGTTTTCCAGTCAGGTTTTAGAGCCCACCACAGCACTGAGACTGCTCTTATCAAGGTGACAAATGACATCCGCCTGAACACTGATGCAGGCAAAGTCTCAGTCTTGATCCTGTTAGATCTGAGTGCTGCTTTTGACACTCGATCATGGATCCTCTACAGAGACTAGAGGACTGGGTGGGCATTTCTGGTACTGTACTAAACTGGTTCAAGTCTATCTAGAAGACAGGAAGTATTTTGTTGAAATTGGAAACTGTGTCTCAGATGACATGGCCCTGACCTGTGGGGTGCCTCAGGGGTCAATCCTGGGCCCCCTGTTGTTCAATCTCTACATGCTGCCATTAGGCCAGTTAATAAGCAGCAATAACGTGTCGTACCACAATTATGCAGATGACACTCAGATCTACGTCTCTCTGGCAGCAGGAGACTATGGACCAGTGGAGTCACTTGGTCACTGCATCCAACAGATCAGTGTGTGGATGCAAAACAACTTTCTACAGCTAAACTCTGACAAGACTGAAGTCATAGTGTTTGGTCCACAGAAACAAAGGGACAGTGTCAGCAGTCACCTCCAGTCTCTCGCTCTAAAACCTTCAAATCAGGCAAGAAATCTAGGGGTAATAATGGACTCAGACTTTAACTTTAACAGCCACATCAAGTCAATAACATCTGCAGCCTTTTACCATCTAAAAAACATAGCAAAAATCAAAGGTTTACTGTCTAAATCAGACTTGGAGAAACTTATCCATGCATTTGTCTCCAGTAGGTTAGATACTGTAATGGTCTGCTCACTGGTCTCTCCAACGAGCTGTGAGACAGCTGCAGAATATCCAGAACACTGCAGCTCGGGTCCTTACTCGAACTAGGAAGTACGAGCACATAAGTCCTGTGCTCAGGTCTCTGCACTGGCTTCCTGTGCCTCAGAGAATAGACTTTAAAGCAGCTCTGCTTGTGTACAAGTCTCTCCATGGACGAGCACCAAAGTCCATCTGTGACACGTTAGTGTCATATGAACCATCTCGCACTCTGAGGACCTCAGGGACCAACTCCTGCTGGTGCCCAGAGTCAGAACTAAACAAGGGGAGTCAGCGTTTCAGGTTCATGCAGCTAAAACCTGGAACAGTCTGAACATGTGAGACAGACTCTTCTGTGATGCTGTTTAAATCCAGACTCAAAACATTTCTGTTTAACTGTGCATATAACTGAAAGGTTTTCATTCCGCACTCTTCTCTCCAATTTATGTCTCTCTTTTTAATTAATTTTAATCTTCATGATTATTTATGTTTTGATTTGTTTTTATTATGATTTTAATGTATTTCTTATTCTGTAAAGCACTTGGAATTACTTTGTGTACGAATTGTGCTATATAAATAAACTTGCCTTGCCTTGCCTTGCCTACATATTGGATGATTACAATTTATTTATTTATTTTTTTAGTCAGAGCAGAGCCTGTTAGTCTTTCAGACAGGGGAAGTTCTTTGCTTTTTCCTTCTAAAAATAGGCTATAATTTAAAGACAGTATAAACTGCCTTCAGTTACATTTGTATAGATATCTAATAGTAATTGCACAATAACCTGTTTTCCAAGTGAGTCAGGAGGAAACCTGTTTCATAATAATCCTCGATTTCCAGATTTTGCAACTTTTCAAAAGCCTGAAGATTAAAAAACACAAATAACTCAAACTTGATTTGATTAACTGATATGTGCAATTCCACTTTTTTGCATAATTCTTACTGTTGTGTTTTTGGGTGACCATGTTTACAGTCTGTCCAGGGACTACAGATGAAAATAAACCAAATAAATAAATAAATAAATAGCAGAGGCCTAGTTTGTGGAGATGCAAGCCTGTTCACTGAAAGGACACATGTTCTATGTTTAGAACAGTACAGAACACAACCAAAATGTAATTTATTTTTTACCTAAAAAATGACACAGTTGGGCTTTAAGTACAGGACCACCAAATAACTGCAACCTGGACGACTTGACTAGCATTTATGATTTTCATAAATTCTGTGCTAATAAAACTGCAGCTGCTCACCTCTTTCCCATCCTCCTGCAGATGTCTGTTGGTCTCAGTGACTTGACTCTGGACAGAGGGAAAAATACACATTATATTTTAAAATTTTTATACAATAATATCATTTTGATTTGATGAAAAACTGGCCATTTTGAGTTTTGTTTTGGTCCTGACCTTGAGTTTGAGCGCCTCCCCTCTCACTTTGAGCAGTTCTGTGATGGAGTCCACAAAGCCCTGGAAATGGTGGTTACACATCTTCTCGATTTCTCGGTCGTGGTTTCGGATCCGAGCGTCCAGTTTGTCCATGAAGAGGCCATGCTCCTGCCCATCGTACACAGACCTGAGGAGATGCAAACATTTTTACACTCTAGATCAAGGGTCTCCAGCATTTTCCCTCCGGTGAGCACCCTTTACAAAACGAAAATGAGAGAGAACTATTACTTTTACCGGTCACAAGAAATTGAGTAAATATTAGAGCCACGGCAAGTCTTAGATGGGTTACAACAGTTAGATGCAGTCTATAAAATATAAACCATTACACATTTATCTGTGCAAAAAGTTAGGCATCAAATTGAGACACTTACAAATGTTAATAGGCATTTAACTCATCAAATTTGAGTTATTCAGCACGATACATATAATTCAGAAATCCCTTGGCGAGCTGCTTGGAAGGGGGTGGAGAGCTACAGTTCGGAGTCCCCTGCTCTAGTGCAAATAAACACACTAAAATTATCCGTTTTCTTCCTCCAAAGTCTGATCTGTGCTCCAAACCGCTGCTTGCACTGACAGAGGGTTGGCTGTAGACTCTCCATTAAAAAAACACCACAACTGATCATGGACCATCAGAAATGACGGAATCACAATCGCCATTCAAATATGAGTAACAGCACAGGCCTTACCCTGTCCAACCAGAACCACACGCTCCGACAAAACTTTACAAAGACCAAAGATGACTGAATCTGGAGCTGTATCCTGTCTCCTTGATATCAGAAAGTGTGATTGACAGGTGGATTAACCAATCAGAGAAAAGTGGGTTTCATTTGCATCAAACCAAACACAGCAGCTAACACATAAAAAAGGGAAAAACTCTACATGAACATCTACATGACTGAGGAACTGCACATTGTTACTGAATCAATCAACAAAGAAGGACCTTGCACTCAGTAGATGTGAATAGGCCAAGTTAACAAACAGAAACTGTAAACAAGTAGACTGTTATTTTCAGAGGACTTTCATTGCAGTTACCTCCTTCCTGCAGGCAGATATAAGGCAGTGTTCTTCAGCGATCTGACCAGAACTGAAGAAGCAGCTTGGATGAGATGCGAAACGTTTTCGACTTACATAAACGTTTGTCCAGTTGACAAAATTACCGTATTTTCCGCACTATTGGGAGGACTAGATTATAAGATGCACTGTCAACTTTTTTCACAAATAAACTGCACCGGACTTTAAAGGAAAGACAACAGTTGGATGGCTCAGTGGGACTTTGTTTGTGGCGTTCACGGTGACTCTGGGTTTTGTTCAGTTGTGGCGTGTAGGGAGGGTGCTGTCTGGGACCAACGGATTGTCGGCGTGTTCGCAGTGACTCAGTTGTTCAGTCGTGTCTAGAAGTGGCACATTCCACTCGCTTTATCAGTTCCTTCCTCTGTTCCTCGTCCACGTGGAGTGATGAGTGTGTCTGTGGGTATTTTTCGCTGTGTGATCTCTGTCTGCTCCGTGTGTGTTTGTGTGTTCTGTGGGTGGTGCGGCTTTGTAGTTTACTGAAGTCGTGCTGGGACACCCGACTGGATTCGTGTTTAGGGCGCTCTGGATTGTGGGTTGTTTTTTGAGGGGGTTTGAGGCTTTTGAGCGTGCCCTATAGTGCGGAAAATACAGTAATGTCTCCTTTGTCATGGATCCTACGTAGACGACTAAGGGAATTCACACACAACAAAGTAAAAGTGGGTCTTAAAGCCCAATTTATGATCCTGCATCAAATCATCTGCAACTCTGTACCCCCTCCACAGAGCGTCTGCATCGACCGACGTGCACCTCCAAAATTTTGCAACTACGTGTCGAACCAACACAGACAGCAAGGGAATGCGACACAGACAATAAGGGCTGTAACTGGTCCGCTCTACCACTGCTCTGCTTTACCCTTCATTTTGTAAGCACGAACACTATTTTTAAATATTAGTCTGTTGTTGTGGAGGTGAATTACTTTGCAGCATATAGACCTCGACGCAGATCCATCAATTCAAAAACGACAGTGACAAGGCGAAGGCGGCAGTGTGTGTTTAGTCGACACAGAACTATAATTTGCCCTTAAAAGACTCTCCACAGTGGAGAGTCATTAAGTTTGTCTTAAGGTCCACTTTTACTCTCTGGCTTTTACCACTTCGTGGGTTGTGTGGTCCTCTGTGTCTTTTATTTATTTTTAATCTATTTTACTGGTTTAATTAATTTGTTGCTATTCTATGTTTTTTGCTCTTATTCGATTTTACTTTGACTTAGGCTGATTTGTTTTGCCCAAGTCAAAATAAAATATGACTTAGACAATTTTCAGTGAAGGCACAGTCCATTACAATGTGTCCTTTGGAGAAGATTCTGCATGGGAAGAACTGCCACAGAGGGTTCAGGTATCAAATGAACAAATAAACTGGGTAAGATGTTTCCACATGCTCTGCCAATCAAGGAGAGCAAGTTTTAGAACCTCCAGTCAATGAAATATGTCATACCAGAAGAGTGCCATCACATCTATGACAACTTGCCACATTTACAGATGAAAAGAAAAAAGAGCTGGAAAAAACTTTTGGTTTGGCAGTGTTTCGCCACCAATATTGCTGAGAAAACATTTAATGTTCATAACTGTTGTTGTCAAGTCTCATTCATTTTTCTTTAAAGTTGACATCTGACATCATTAGATATCAGTTTGTTTTTGTAGTGCCTGTATCCCTTTCCTAAACATGAAACAAGTGACATTAATATTCATGCAATGCAAAGTGTTATCATACTGCCCATGTCACAAAAGGTATGGTCTAAAAAATGCCAAGTCATTTATTTATTTTTAGTTAAATAAAAAACAAACAGTGTTCTTATTATGCCAAGTCAGGGTGAAAAAATGCATAGCACACTCGGTTGGCCGATGTCCAAATACTTATTTATTAACAAAATAACGTTTCGGCAAAAAAAGCCTTCATCAGATATTTTTCTTGTCTTGGACCACAGCACACAAAATGGTTGCCAGCCCAGGTGCCCATATACCCCCTCAATGAATGGGAGGTCCCAAAGTGAGGTCACCCAGTGAGTTCAGCCCACTCTACAACAAGAAACAACAGTTTACATAAAAAAACATTTTATAAAATACAGAAATAGTTTCAGTCTATCACAAAAAACATCTTAAATCAAACTCCACATTCAGTCCATGAGGAGTAAGAGTTTTAAGATGGTGAATCCAGAAGTGCTCTCTTTTTGACAGGAGCATCTCTAGATTACCACCTCTAGGGGGCAGTTCCACATGTTCAATGCCAATATATTATTATGCCAAGTACCATCATTTGTTACATACTTTCTGAATGAAATCATCATTTCAACTTTTGGGTAAATATGTTTTTTTCTGAAAAACTTGAAAAAATGACTTATGCGATTATTTTAGGAAGGAATCACAATGATGTTTGTGTGGAGAGCAGGATTCAAACCGCCAACCTTCAAATCAGTGGACGACCGCTCTACCAACTGAGCTCCTGCTTAGTTATACATTTTGTTCTGAAAGATACAAGAGCTTTGGAGAGATGTCTTCGGCATTTGAGTGACACGTAACACAAATGAGCAGCTGTGGTTGGACCGTCTAAAGTTTGGACCATAGACTGTATGTATAAATGGACATAGCTAACCCGCAAGACACCATGTTCCAAAAAAGTGAGCTGCATCGACGAAAAACATTACTGCTTTCTGTAACTGCTGCTGTGAGCCTCGCCATTTCGGTCTTAAAACGTTTGTATTAACCCGCTCTACGTGATCCTGGTGTTGTTACTTCGCTATTTTGTCAGTAAATAAATCTTTGTTCTTTTATGGAAATGGCTCCAAATTCGTTCCTGTAACCGCTCGCCTCGATGAGCTTCATGTGACTGGAGTCGAACGCTGTGGGTGATGTCATACTCGCTTAGTCCACTTCTTCAGTCGGTCTAAAGAGGTTTTTTAGTCTCTACGGTCCAATTCCAGACCTACATGGATTCAGACAGGATGTAGAATCGACTGCTGCCCAGGCAAGTCCGGCACCGTCCTGAATCAGCCATCGCTCTCTGATCTGCTCCTGCTTTTAGAGACTATCTGTGGGGTTTTCCAGCCCCTCCTCACCTGTCTCGGGGCACTTCCTGTTCTGGAGGAAATGCCCTCAACCCAAAGCACAATGGAGACGCACCAGGAGCCTTTGTCACAACACAAACAAACACTGAGCTGAAGCCGGAGAGAGAGAGACTCCAGACAGAAGAGAAATAAACCAGAGGGGTATTTATAACAGAGGGATGAAGTCACCGTTTCACACAATGGAAGAGCCAGGAACACAAGGTTTTATTATAGTTGCTAAGAGAAGAGCTGCACCATTTATAGAAAAATATGTTATGACATTTTTCTGGCAAGTATTGTGATTGAAACACAAATTGCTAATCACAAAGGTCCAACATAACTGATTTATAAAGTTGTTTCCTCATCACTAACACATTAAAACACAAACCCTGCGTATTTAGGCTGAGTTCTTTTCTCCAACGGAAACTCCATACACCTTGACTAGTATCATTCGGATGATTTCAGACCTGGGATTGCCAATCTCTACTAAAGAAAAGGTAAAAGAAGCCGTTAACTTGGAAAAACACCACTACATGACATCACAACGTGGAACAGAGCATTTTGAGCTTTGGAGATGTAAACAGACTGATAATAAACATGTGTGAATGAAACAAAACACAACTCCAGGTCTGTTCAAATGAGTTAACAACATTCTAACATGGCTTAAAGCTCACAAGAGTCAATTTTGTGTAATAGAGGAACTTTAATAATACGATTCCGTTCAAAGTTCACATTTTAAACACATCCCACATTTTAAACAAATCTGAACTGACAAACGAATACAAGAATCGCATTTCAGAACATGTTTGTACAGGGTTAGACATGGGGAGGCCATCTGACACACAGACCTCTACAAACATGTTCTGAAATGTTCCTAACTACAGGGTCAGCAGTTTTTACGCACAATAAGACTGGAGATTTTGTAGTTCGTGGAGGAGCTTATGGTTTGTCAAGCACTGCAGCCTTTGTGATCTACTTTGTGTTTATTCAAATTAGAATTTTCACAAGTGTGCAGCT